ATGATGAACTTTAATTATGAAAATAGCGATGGTGTGAAGTTTGCGAAAGCCATAAGGAATATCACGCTCTAGATACATTTGAATGCTTGTTCCTGGTTTCTTTTGATAAATACGTTGATACTTAGCTTAGGACGAAATTTGAATTTAGTCCAGAAGATTTAATTTCAAAAAATTTATAAATTGAATCCTGTAAAAATAGTCTTGGATCTTGATTTTCACAAACTTGAAGCTATACAGCATCAAGATATCATATTTAAGACAATCATTAGACCTGTTTTGAACTTAAATTCAGGGAAATTTAAACTTCAAATTTCAAATATTTGTAAACAAAGACTAGCTTGAAAGCATTTACAGATGAGTCAATTAGCTCACCCCAAAATCCAAACAAGTGTAATTTTGACTGTCATTTCATAATCTGCAAAAAAAAAGTCGGAACTTCCAAACATTTGTGACCATTTTCGTAATCACATTTGAATTGCTTCAAAGACAAAAACTTTATCAGAACTTCCTATCAGCTCCCATCATATCAACAAGAGTTTTGAGCCTGTGGTTATTTCAACGTATTCATTGGAATGGAAATTGATTATTCATGACAACAAATATCCACAGAAAGTATGAAAAAAATCTATATAAATTGTTGACACAGCCACATTCAATCTAATTAGGGATGACTGCAATTTATATGAAAAAAATGTTATCGTGCAACAACGAAAGTAAAAAAAGTCATGTGAAAAATAATTGCGGAATTCAGAAGTGACTCATATACATGCTAAAAGTGCTCTTTTTTTGTTGTATCTATCAATCTTTTTTATATCAACCTACAGCGTTCATTACGTCATGTCGCTTACATAAAAAAGTGACAAATTCAAGTGAAAATAAAATGAAATCAGATTTCCCATGTGAGCAGTGTCAGGGATGCTTCCATTACTTATTTTTTCGGTCGTTCATATTTTCATCGAAATGTTTGATATGCTTACACAGTAATCTGCTTATAGAAATAAATCATATTTATTTATCTTTACAACTTTTTTTTTATCTGACTGAATGTTTCAATTATCAGATTTAAATCAGATATGACAACTCGTCCGTTTCCTTCTCAAAAGGAATGATATTGTGTTAGGAATTATGAAGGTTTATGTGATTTTATCTGGATCTAGAGTACCGTGAGGGTTTTTATTTGTTTATTCAATGAAGTGGATAATTTGATGCTGACTATCCATTTATTGAACAGCAAGCCTCAAAATTTTAATTCTAAAAACATCCAAAAGCAAAAAGTCAACTTTCAAAAGCTTCACAAAAAGTAACAAGTTATTTTGTTAATAAACGCAACAATTTAAAGCCATACCTGACCGAAGTACATAATATGACATCCAAAAACACACAAAAGGCAAATAAATAACAAATCAATCACATTAAGAATGAAGGAATATAAACATGTGCTTCTCCTTCCACGAGGCTGAGTTTGAATAAAAAGTAGTCGTTGTAAGATATGACGCAATTCAGTCAAGCAACAGCAGGGGAGGCTCTCCTATGCTGGCCAAGACATACGTCTCTTAATACAGCCCACAATGTCACAGAAGAAAAAAAAATCAAAGTTTCTAGTTTGAACAAGTTTTCAACTTTAAAGAAAGTTGGCAAAAGTTTCAAGGGTTCTTGTGGCTACATCATACTCAGTACCTCAGTCCAAAATAAAATTATTATTTTCCGGTAGTACAAACATCAAAGCCACATTTCACATGCAGATTATTCCGAGTAACTTTGTCGATTATTTTTACTTCCACAAGTCTCAATAGTCCATAAAATTATACAGAACAAATCTCAATTTATACAATCTGGATTTTCATAAACAAAAGCTCCTTAGTCATATCCGTATAATATTAAATGAATTAATATTTAATGAAGGTGTCTTATGGTTCTCGCTCGTGTCCTCCATTATACAACCGGTTAGATGCTTTTTGAAATTACGCGTACATATTAATGCTAAAACATACCGCCTCACATGAATGAAAATGAAAAAAGAGATTCGCTAATTGAATGTGTACACAAACACTTGCTAAACATATCACGTTGCATAGCCTGAGCTTTGCTAAAAGTTATGTGAATGGCAAAAAGAACAAGAAAATTGGTTGCACTTAACCAACTTCTTTCTTCATATTGACATAATATAGCGATGCTTGTTATTATTTCATTTCCATTTATTGAAATTCATTTGCTTTTACTTTTTTATCCGTACTATGTAGTTCTGCAATTTGCATTAGTTGATGGAGAGACTGTGGGGAAAGAATTATACTAAATACATCTGATTACTTTGACTTCTAATGTGGCTAAGTGTACATTTACGAATCTTAGTTGTAACCTTGCTATATACTTAAGTTTTACTGCCGGTAATTCTTATCCTGCCTTTACTAATTTGTTGCTGGATATTCTTGATTAAAATTTAGTTTGTGGATTTATTTTGTATGACTGGATGTTGAGATACTAGCCTTGGATAGGAATTTGCTTGATTTGAACTCTATAAAACCATATTATAATGTTCCTGACATGTATGACTTAATAGTCTTTATGATTTATGATTCTATAGAATTGGTATAACACTCTTAGTTCTAGTCGAATCCTTTGGTGCTATCGCTTCTATTAGCTTAGTCAAGGATCCAAAAATGCACTTCATTCATATTATCACATTAGCTATTCAAACCTTCTTGCTCTAAACTTCCTTCCTTTTGTTTTAGTTTGCAACATACTTCAAGTTTACTATGCGCCAATTTTCTCTAGATTTATATTTTGAATATGGTCGCGTTTTTCTGGCATTTTTGTTGATTGATGCTACCCTTGACTTCGTTTACGAATTTCTACAATTTCTCTTTTGTTCAATTTGAATACATCAGACAAATGTAATGAAATGTTTATATTCCCAATGAAATGGATGGAAATTTGAATAGATGGATGAGAAGTTTCCGACATTGAAGGCAATTCCTACTGATTATAATAATGATGGTAATAAAAAGTTTGTATGTAGACGAATTTTGAACATTTTATTATATGAAAAACCATCAATAAATTTCTTTGTTCTCCTTTCTCATCCTAAATTGCTGTGAAAAATAGAAAGAGCTTAAAGCTTTGTTTATTGAAAATATTTATTTTATTATTTTCTCATTAATTATCAATTTGGGCTTTATGGAAATTAATTGAATAAACAAGGATCTAAAGATGTTTTCATTCTTGCTTTAATTATGCTGAATATCCTTGTTTCTTAGAATTTAGGCAAATATGAATTCCTTGTTCTGTAAACTAATTATTTTCATAATATTTACTTTGCAAATTTGATTGGCAATTCCTTGAAACTTATCATTAAAACAATTTTATTTTAATTGGGATAATTATAATTGAACATTATAGGCAGATTGATAATTGGAAGTTTGTCTCTTAGTTTGAGCTAGTTTGAGTTGAAAATTTTATTAATATTTCTTAAGTTTTCAATAATGAACTTGCTGCTAACCATTAATTTTCATGCGAAGAAATCTTAATGATGATTAATGATTAATTGTACTGAGAAAACTTGATTTTTAAGAATTGTGCTTTAAATTACAATTTTGTCAATTTTATCAGCCCTAGATCTTTTAATTACAAAACGTGTCAAATATTGAAATCGGTAAAGATGGAAAGATAAAAAGATTGACGAAAAAAAACCTTGATTTAATGCTAGATTTTTTGGAAAACTCAAAATATCAATTTTCCAAAATTTTGATTCTGACTTAAACACAAATAATATCTAATACAAAAACCATCTGTTCTAGATACATTGTCATCAATCTAAGAATGTTATTGTCATAAATCTCATCTTGATTATGCTAACAACAATGCTATATATGAAAATTTCTAGATTCTTGACAAATATTTCAAAGAAAAAAAAAACATAATATTTCAATCATAGATCGTATTTCGCCCCAAATAACATAAGCAGAAAGTCCCACATCATTTTTCCATAACATACACAAACACATTTTTGTGTACATTCCATCAAAAAAGGCAAAAAAAATAACTTCAAGAGATAAATTTCCCAGAACTTTTGATTGAATAAACAAAATATCAATAATCATCAGAAATGCAAAGTCAGCTAGAATGAATATTCAAAGAAATAAAAATCTAAAAAGAAAGAAAAATCTAAATTAGTTCATTAACAGTGGCAATCATGGAAATCTCATCAAATTAGTAGGAAAATCAAAGAAAAAGATCGTTTATCCTTAAATTTATTTTCCTTTCCTTACACTTGGCCTAGGTCAAAAAACATTTTTTTTCCATTTCCTTTACTCAGGGGCGTAGCCAGGGGGGGGGGGGGGGGAGCATAGGGGGCCCGGGCCCACCCTACGAAAATCTGATAGTTGTTTTATTAAGTATTTATAGAGAAGAACCAGTTAATGTAGAGGAAGTGATGAAAGAAACGTCAAAATCAGCACGAAAAATTAAATTTAATGTATGAATAATGAAATAAATATTTAAACTTATGAATAATGAATATAGATTTAAGGATACAAAATAATGGTTTTTTAATTTTCGAAAATGGGCCCCCCCTTAAAAATTTTCTGGCTACGCCCCTGGCTTTACTGACCCTCCTTTTGGTATAATCAAGCATAGTAGTAGTGTACATTAATTTTTACTACAGATGTTATCATCATATTAAGTTACAAAATTAATGACTCCAATTCAACCTATGATTTGCTCGAAATAATGAAAACTAAATATTTAATTTAATTCCAACTCAGAGTTTAATTTTTCGGATGTAGCCAATACCCAGAAGGATTCTATAAAATTTATCGAACATTATTATGCTAAGTATGACTGAAAATTAATAAAAGAAGTATAATTGAGTTGAATGAATTTGTTATGAAATTGAATGACTGGATCATGTATGGAAATTACAATAATTCACGTGCTGTATTTACTCATTAAATTAACATTTGAGTTTTTATTGACAAAAATTTTTCTTTTACATTTCTTTTCAGGGTTTAAATGCCCAGTATGCAGCAAATTTATATTACCAGATGATATCGAATGTCATATAGTGATGTGCCTAACGAAACCACGATTGTCATACAATGGTAAGTCATTAATATCGAACCAAATGCAAATTCATTGCTCATTACTAATTTACGAAATTCTACAGAGGATGTACTGAACGATCCGAAAGGTGAATGTGTGATTTGCTTAGACGATTTAAATGCCGGTGATGTAATCGCTCGATTGCCATGCTTATGTGTTTATCATAAAGGGTAAGCAATGATTAATTTCTATGTAAAGCTCCGATGTGCTTTACTCTGACGTTTGAAATGAACATATTAAATATTTAAAAACATTTGTTTTGTGTGATTAAATCCAACTCTTTTGGATGTGCTAATTAAAAGTCGGAATTTGATGATCAAAAGATTGAGAATTGAGTTAAAGAATAATGCAATGCAGAGGGACATCCAGATTTTTTAAATAGAAGCAAGTCTCAATGTTTGAATACCTTTTTGCATAGCTTGAAGTCTCCCAAAGTAGACTTCAAGTTTTCCTTTTTATGTCAAGCTAACCTTAAATTAGCTTTAATCAAGTTTTGCAAACTGTCAGCTTTTTTAAAGACAAAAAGGAACTAGTATCAATCTTCATTGATTTATTCTAAACATTGAATATCCAAACTAATCAATAAAGTGAAATTCTTTAAAAGTTATTATACCCAGCTCAAAAATATAAATTCCACTGCGTGTGTTAAGCAGTCAATTTGTCACATATGAAAACTTTTCAAGTTTAAGGTCTAATGAGAATTAAATTGTCTTGAAAACAACAAAATTAGTCCTGAAAAATTTTCAAATCACTTTTTCTCATGAATAATTTAGGATACGAAAGAATCAAATCACCTGCAACACGTTTTATGCATCAATATTAATGTGTTTTAAATTGAGCATTGAGGGTTTAGGGTTGCTGATGCTTTGTTGTGAGAAGTTTATGTTTTTGGAAATTATTTTGTCAATATAGTTGAGTATGTTGGCACTTTTAAATATTTTAAATTTGTACATTTGAACATATTGTTGAGAATCCTGAGTCTTGTCACACTGACTTGTGATAACAACAATCTATGATTATTAGATTAGTATTTAGTATGAATTATTACTAACTTTGTGGTTGCTAGAAGGAATCAAACTTATAAACTTAAAGGTGAATCTCAACTCAAATCGATTCAAAGTCATGCACCTGTTTGACCTAATGAAACTCCAGAAGAGTTGAGCCAAACCTTAAATAACTTTAAATTATTTATTGAATTTTGATTAATTATTGTTTTTCATGATAATCTTATTATTCTCTTTTAATTGTAGATGCATCGACAGATGGTTTGAAGTAAATCGATCGTGCCCTGAGCACCCATCTGACTAGTAGATACCCTTCAATTTTTGCTATAGTAAAAATGATGTTGACTATTAATTATTCACAACGCAAGGTTAAACTCCTTTTTTAGATAATAAAACAAAAAAAAAATAATGATAATATAATTAAAAATTAATATGAGAAAAAAAAGTAAAAAATACCATTAATTAATAAATAAATTAATTATACATTTTTACATACTGAGAAAATAATATAAAAAAATTATGGGTAAGGAAATAAGAAACAAAAAAACAAAACTGAAAGTCATAAAATTAAATTGTTACATATACCAAAATTACATGATGATGAAGAAGATGACGAAAAAAGTTCGAATCGAGAAGGTCAACAGAAATAAGAGTATTTGAAAAGTGCTATAATTAAAAAACAAAGTTTTTCTTGACATCCAAGTAAATGAAAATAAATTTTACTATTTTGAAATTTATCGATCTAAGTCGATAGTATATAATCCTTGCAATTTACGATTACATCAGATGTTCTGGCATCAAAATTGAAAATTCTAGATCTGTCTAAGACACTGTTGTTGCATGACTTTATATGTATATTATGTCATGTAGTCATGTTGTCTATCCACAAAACATTCATTCAAAGCTATTTCGATAAAGCAAGACATAACCATTATTTAAGAATCATTAAGATTTAACCTAAATCATTCAGAAATGAATATAAAATTTACTAAAGATCTAAGTCGAGTCAGGTTTTGTGAAAGTTTCTATTTAAAAGGCTGGCCAACGTCTAGTTTAGCCAATTTGACTTTATACAAAATTCGACTATCAACTCTGTAGCATAGTCTTAGAATTAAAACTCCTGATTTCAATTGGATCTGCAATATTCTGACTTCCTTGTATGATTCATCGTTCAAAGCCCTCATTTGCAATATAAATTACAGAGATTGGATATAATATTCATGTCAATAGTTGCGATGAATATCATATAAATAGCTTTAATATTTGCCAGATCATCCGATGAAGTGTAATGTCTGGATATGTATGAGAAATACTTTATTTGCTCAAATAGTTTGCATCCGATAATGATCTAGTTAAATTTGATAAAGTCATGGATCTATAATAAATTTTTCCTTTATTTGTTCAGACGTGAATCATAATATTAAATGTTATTGTCATGGTTTGATGGAAATCAGATATGAAAGAAAGGTTTGATTTAACATTAGTCGTACTTTGAAGAGGAATTTAAGAAATTCTTACTTGACTTACACTTTGGACCCAGTTGTATCGGTTTCTAGGGCTACTTGGGGCACTTAGGAATAAAATTCAATGTTCGTAACGTTCATTTCTAATTTAAATTGTATTTATTTATAAAACAATTGCTTGTCCCTGTTATATGAATATTCAGTCTGTTTACGAACTCAAATTTGGGGAAGGAAACCTCTTGGAATCAGGATTAATCCTTGAAAGTCTTGGGTTCCCGCAAAATGTCTATTCATTTTTACTTACATAGTTCTTGAATCCACAGTAATGTGCTTTTGAATCCTGTTTCTCCTACACTTCTGTACTTTTAGTCTTTTACAACTTCGAAAGAACTTTAAGTATGAATTCAAAACTAACGCTTTATAAACAAACTCCTCCACAGTTCCTTTAGTCAAGGCCCTTACAAGTCACTTTAAGATTCAAAAAAATTGCTTACATTAATTTTAAAAATTACTTCAAAAAGAACCTAACTCTAGAAGTTATGGAAATTTTAATGCCAGATCATCAAGTGTAACGTAAATGGAAAAGGAGCATGAAATTAAGAAAAAGCAAGTCATTGATTAGATAAACAAATTAATTTAAAAATTAAATGAAAAAGTAAATTAAAATAAATGTGAAAAATTATGTAAAATTTTTGTTATAATTTAGTCCTCAAGCTACGATACATGAGGGACATAATGTGAAAAAAGAAAAATTTAAAAATATATGAAAAATTTTTATTGATTCTAAGAATCTCCTCATATAAAATATTTGTAGTCAAAAAAAACGGCTAGAAAAATGCAAAAAAAAAAAATTTCTCGTCATTTCTTCTTCTTTTTAAGTTGATGAAAGTAAGTAATTGAGCGGAAACAGTCAAGGGAAGTATCGCACCATTAAATAGTCAAATTCAGGTTGTAGAAACAAAAATCTCTAAAAAAATATCGCCTTGACAGCATTTTTAGTGTAACTTTAGAAATGGCCATAAAAAAATTATTAATTTTCATCTTTTTGATTGTGAAATGGAAGGGCTTTATTCGTTTTTTGGACGCTTTGAAGTTAAGAATATAAAAAAAAACTAAATTAGTAAAAAAGGAACCAAGACTGTAACATAAAAAAATTGAAATTGTAATAAACGAAAAAAAAAATTAAAATACACGAAAAAATATGCTTTTTGTAGGAAAAAATTGAAGTAAAGTTTGAAAAATTTCCATATTATTGCTCATCGCTATTGCATCACTAAAGAAATATTTGCACTAAAAATTAATTTTCTGTCTGTGATGCGTACTAGACTTATTATTATGTTCATTCATCTCGTCTCTAGAGTCAAAGACCGAGATTACATTAAAGGTTGGTAATTCATCTTCATTGTCTCATCGACAAATATTTAAAATAATAATAGGAGTCGTTAACAAATGACGCTCATATAGGATTATGAGAAAGTAAGAGAGGGAGGGGTTGGGACAGTCGATAATCTCGATTAAGTCACTTTTGAGCTCAGCTTTTAAAAAATGATGCTCAATGAGGATGAGTAAGAATCAGAGAGGGTCTGATGTTGTGTGATTTTATCATCCAAATGTTTTAGTTTTAAAAAAACTACTAAGTCTCCCTTAGTCCCTATTTCCTTAGCAGCCAACCCTCATTCTTTCGTTTTTAAATCATCAACATCATTAGAAAAAACCAAACTAAAATTGATACTTCCAGCACCCCCATAATCATGTCACGTCAAACATCTCACTCATAATTTTCCACAATTTGTCACTTGCTTATCTCGTTAGGATTATAATTTCTCTGCCTTAATCATATTTTCCCTGAGAAAAAAAAATAATCTTTAAAAATTTCATTAGCAACAAACCTAATAATGATTTTCCTCTAGAGGATGGAGACTCAAAAAATGAACATAATAAGAATACATACAAAGAAATTTAGAGATGCCATAAACTTGCTATTACATTTCTTATTATATTGTTGTGTTCCTTTGTAAATAATGATTTCTCCTTTTTCATATGGCTTTCTTCTTTTATTATTTCCATGGGATCTTGTCTCACTTTATCATAAACTTCAAGTGTATATCCTGTATCTTTCATGTGATTCATGCGAGTTCCACATAAAGATTTTTTGATAACAGAACAAAATAATATCAAACAATAAAGTATAGAAAATGCTCTGTACATATTAATAAAAATGTATGAAGTAAGTGAAACTGGAAGGAAATATAAACGAGAGGAAGAGAAAGTCCAAAATGAAGCATAAACGTTAACCCAAATATGAGCAAAAATACATAATCTTAGGTTTCAAGTAAATTTATAGTTTAAGGACAATGAATGTGGAGAGAAATCAAGAAAAGAAAGGAAAACTCATTGATAAATGGGTCAAATATCAAACCAGTTTATATACAATCTCGGATAAAAATTGATTTTCGTCTTGCTTACTTTGCCATGATTTGATTTCTTATCATCCATATTTGCGAGATTAATTAGATGTGTTTGTATAAATTACTTTTTGGTTTTTGGAGAAGAATTGAGTTTCTGAGTTTTTAAGTCTTTATCAGGAAGATTAAGAAATTAATCATTGTTTAAAAATTCTAATGGTTTAATTTTATTTGAATTTTTAAATGAAGTTTTTCAAAAAGAAAATGATTCAAATATTGTTTGACAGTTAAAACTTTTAATGATTTTTCATTGAAACTCAAGGAACTAAAATGAAGGATTTTTAAATTAAAACAGATCCAAATCCATAAAGTTCAAATTCAAGGATCGATCAAAATAAGATCTCATCCTGAAATATTTGTATACTTGCATCTAAAAACCTTGCGAAACCCTCTAGACAAAAATCATCACTACCAAGTCATCACAAATTGGATGAAATAAGAATCAAAAAAATAAAGAAAATTAAGAAAAAAAAAATTAAAAAAAGAAACTGATAAAAATATGTGATTTATAAATAAAACAAGAAAAAAATTAAATAAAAAGATTATTGTGTCTATGATAATAATAAAGAATTTGTAATAATATCTAGATAATAGCAGATCAGGAGACCTCAATGTTTGGGATACAAACGACAGATGACTTTTTATGTAATGCACAATTTTGTAAAATTGTTTTGGCTGATTTCTCGGATTAATTTGAAGGTATACCATGCTTTACTCTAGAACTAATGCATATTTGGAATATATTTATGGTATATCTGAAGTAAACGCGAGTAACCAGCTCGAGATTTCGTCCAATTTGACGTCAAACATTTAAAATTGACTAACCTGAGCTTGAATGATGCTTATAGAGGAAAGGAAAGAACTCAGTCAGTCCCAAATACCTTAAAAAATGCTAGATGTCATTTTTGAATGAATCTTTAGGATGTTGCAGACAATTTTGAACGGAATTGAGTCAGATTTAATCGCGTTATTTGAAATGTTGAAACTGTGTTGTCATGAAAGTGTCATGTGCATTCATTGATGTAAGTTATCGACATGTTTCTCACAAAATTACAAAAAAGTCTTAAAAATCAAAAGCGTTCAGTTTGACTCAGCTGAAAAAAGCAATTCTGAACTTTTTTTGTACAGGCAAAAAACATTTTTTTATACAGCCATGATTTTGGACAATTAAAGTCAAACTAAAACAGTTAAAATAATTGAGGCATCTCCTGTTTAATAAGGAAATAAAAAAAAAATTTGCAATGCTTTATATCAAGCAGAAAAAAAAACTAATTAAGGATTAAAATTAAATTTGAAGGTAAATTGTGAAAATTAATTTGAATAAGAAAGATTTCCATGAGCATTAAATGTATTGGGAAGTTAGTAATATTCACTAATTGATAATTGACTTTTTGTATATAGTTAATAATATTAATATATGAAAAATAAAATGGAAAATTGGATCAGTGAAAATTCATTTTGATTTATTTCTTTTGTTTTTGAATTTTGGCATCAAAATTTCGTGCTTTTCAGTTCTTAAACTTTGAGTTAAAAGCTTAGGCAGCAATACATTGCAGGTTCTTAATTACTATCTATGCCAGTGTTGTCCAAACTTTTTGTATACAGCATTCGGCACACAGTTTGGACAACACTGATCTAAGCTTTAGCTTTTTGTTGAAAAAATTATTCAACATTTTTAAAAAAATTATTTTTTTTAATATTGAAATATTAAAGGGTTATGTCCTTGCAACCATGCTTCATGATTTATGATACTTCAAGAATAGCAAGTCGAAACCAAAGCTATTCCCCTGAAAAAGTGTATATCCTTAGGACAGTGTTTCTCAAACTATATCCCGCGACACAATAGTAAGTCGTTGAGACCAGAGCTCGAAGTCGACTGGAGATTTTCATCAATTTTGTTTTGCGGAAATGACTCCGAGTCGACTGGACTCAATACAAAATTTCATCGACTTCTATCTCTGGTTTAGACTGAAGTAAGTATAACGCAAAAATGTTTGGTTCTAATCAAGTTCCAAAGACAAGTGTGTTTCGATCCAAAAAATTTAAGGAACACTGCCCTATTGTATACCAAACAACCAATCCCTTTAGATCCCCATTTTTGCATTAAATAAACTCAGCATCTAAAATTTCTTGAAATTAATTCAACAAGAATAACAAAAACTAGAACAATTTTTTCGACACAACTAAAAGGAATTAGTCATGAATTATATTTTCGAGAAAAAAAAAATCTAAAATAATCTATTTAGGAGATAAAAACTGACTTAAAACAATGAAAACGCTTAAATACTAAAAATAAAATAGAAACAAAATAAAAGTTTGGGGTGTTCACTTATTACGTTACGTAAAAAACCGACTTTTTTCACCCCCCCTCCCCCCCTTGTTACAACATGTTACAACTCGCAACCCCCCCTCCTGAACGTTCATAATTAAAATTTTTTTCGTAAACTTTTTTAAAAAAGACAGACGACAGTTAGAACGTTACATTCTTCTTGTAACCCCCCCCCCCCCCCCTATGTTACATTTTGTTACAATTTTTCAAACCCCCCCTCCCTCCTAAAATGCGAACGTAATAAGTGAACGGCCCCTTTTGTGAAAAAAACATTTTGAAAATCTACATACATAATATCAGGTCAATCATTAGTCACACAAAGCTCTTTTTTTTGAGTATTTTAGACGTAAATGAATTTTAGGTTTCGTTTGTTCTTTTGTTTGGCTTCTTTTGAAGATTTAAAAAGTAAATTTGGCAATGATTAATGCAGTTTGAATAAAGGTAAAGTTGTAGTCATGCTTTTTAGATCATACAAAAATTTGAGAAAACTGATGTCACTTGATCTGATGTGGAACTGATCAAAATGATTTAAATTGATCATTTCCAAGATCCTGGCTAACATTTGAATTCATAAAGATAAAACTTAAGCCTCTGACCAACTTTAATTAAGTATGGTAATAACAGATCTCGAATGAAAATCAATTGGACTTAAAATGATTCGACTTTAAGCTCTGGAAAGCAATATTTTGTAGTCTAATGCCTCAAATAGCAATAAACTGCATCATAACTTGAAATCAGCTGAGAGTTTCCATTTCAATTATGAAATCTTTCCAGAAAATAATCAAGGCTGTTTTTATTACAAAATTCGAATCTATAATCTAGTTCCAATCTCCTAATTGAATACAAATATCGTTGCGATAAAAATAAAGTTCAAAATTACGAAACTTCATGAAATATTTATGCACAAAAGTGCACGCGAGTAATGATAATGAAAAATTTACGAAACAAAACAAAACTTTTTTTTCATTTTCATTTGCATTTTTTTTTTGTTGTTGTTGCGTGGGAAAATTTGCAGTCATTACACATGAAACATGCAAGTTTTAATTCTGTATATGAAGAAATGCTTTTCTCTCTCTGACTTATACAGTCGCGTTTTATTCATGAGAGCATTATTAACATAGTAATAATGATGATGAGAAGAAAATTAAGCAATGATGAATAATTTATGAGAATTTTCTTTAAGCCTTCGAGTTTTTAATTTTTCGTGACTACTTGCAGCGAAGGTGAAACATACCTGAAATATTTGCAGACCAGAAAATAGTGCAGCTGAAATTAATAAACTTAGGATAGTCAAAATTAATATTAGGATAAACTAGGGAGGCTTGAATAGTCAAATCAAACCGAAACTACTCGATTATAATAAAGTTTACGGCATGCTTTATTAGATATTTAACAAATCGAGAAGCCACTGTTTTCATGAATCTGTAGAAAATCATGATTAAAAACCATAAATTAAATTAAATTAATAAATTCATTAAAAAGCATTTAACACAGTTTTTACTAATTTTTGTAGTTCATTAACCATTAAGTATACATAAATCAGATACAACATAAAAACTTACTTAATGTATAAAATTCATAAATAGAAAAAAACTTAATTCTCACTTTTATATCCAATAGTTTATATCCTGTGTTATTCAGGCTCACTCGATTTATCAAAAATGCGATAAGAGAGGAAGAAGAAAAAGTTTAAGAATAGCATAGTGAAAGTAACAGCATATGTATGAATGTTTTTCCATATTGATAAATTAAAAATGAAGAGAAATAAATTACGTCCAGTAAATTTATGTATATTGGACCTGAATATTTCTGAATTTATAGTAAAAAAATTGATAAAAATTATGAAAAAAAGGAAATAAAAATTTGTAAAAATGACAATTTAAAGTTTGTAGCTTTTGTTAATTATTTTGAATAATTGTAACCAACCATAACTCTAAGTTGACTTAAACACAGTGTCAGTATGTAGGAATGGCAAGTTCAAATAAGCGAAGATGCAAAGCTTTGCTTATTAATTAAATTTATTCATCAATGGCTATCATGTAGCTATCATCGCGATGTCATCAACGTCAAAGTCTACGATAAAGAAATACCACGTTTCCTCCTCCTCAATTTGACCATTATTATCGTTTGGGAGACTTTACATTCTACACGTGATGATACTTGTTGCTTTACCTGAATCTCAGTATTGATTCAAATGAGCTGCATTTCCATTACGTATTATTGCAAGATATTTATTAAGGCTCGTTTGTTTAATACGGTACACGGTACGTTAATGTATGGAAAAATGTTTCCATTGTTTAAGCTGCTACAACCCCCCTCCCTCTCCCCCACAGAAATCGAACACAATAAGTGAATGTAGATTGTAAAATCATGAATAGTTTTAAGTTCGAGCTGCAAGATTTAAAGGATACCCT